TGCTACCTTTCATGACCATCAGTAAATAGCACAAAAAAAGTTAGAATTACACAATATAACAAGTGACCTTGCAGAAGAAATTTCATCCTTACGCTTGTCTCTTCGAGAAAAATGGATTCCAATCCTTCGTGTTCCGATTCTGAGCACATGTAGAAGAAATATTCTTTTCAAGCCTTAAGATAGGTGAAAAACATGATGTTAGAATTACAAAATATAACAAGTGACCTTGCGGAAGAAATTTCATCCTTACGCTTGTCTCTTCGAGAAAAATGGATTTCAATGAAAGGTTGTGGTATAGACTTCCCACAACTCAGTTTAGAATATTTACGTCCCTTTACATGTGGCAGCTATCAATTAAAAGAAAGTAAAGCATATGCTAAATCACATTTAGATGAGAATGGTGATTTTGATGTTGAGTTATCGCCCGCCAAAAATAATCTATTACGGTGTCGAATACAAAGTCGTCACCAAAATAGTATAAAATATTACCTTTGTGTTAAATATGATCCATCTGCTAGTGATGAACCGATATTAGACAAATACTGTCAATATAAAAGTGGAAATCGCACTATAGGTTGTCGTGCTCATACTGCAACAGTCTTATGGTACCTGAGTTATGCGCGCTTTACTGAATGGAAACCATCTCAACGAGGAACAATTTTGTTTGATAGTATAACATCATGTCGCTGAAATCATGCACTGTAGTTAAACTACAACCATGTTCTTTTAATTCTTTTATCGCCAGTTTATAGCGCTCCCTGGGCGTGTCAACAAGGAAATATTGCCACTCCCCGGAGTGTAAACAAAGAGCTATTGCCACTCTCTGGGCGTTTCAACCAGGAGCTTTTGCCACTACCGAGAGTGTCAACAAGGAGCTATTGCCACTCCTGGGGGTGTCAATTAAGAAAACAATTATTTGATATGTCAAGTAAGTGAATGGTTTTTTATGATATACAGAAGAATAGATAATCTTCTCAAAATCAGGTGAAGGTTTATGAAGGAATAATGCCTCATTTCTGGTACTAATCCCAAGTAGTAACACCTAGAAAAGTAATTTGATTGCTTAATGTTGCTTAAAAGTTCAATTTTTGTTTTTAAAGAAAAGCTGTATAGCAAAAAAGGCAGTGAAGTGGTAAGACGGAGCGCTTTCGAATTCTTTCTCAAAGCTTGGAAGTGAAGAGAACGACTCGAAAAGAACGACGTGAAGAGAACGACGTAAAGAGAACGAAGTGAAGCTAACTGGAAACGGTGAAGAAATCACGAGTAATGACTTTATAGAAGAAAATATCTATATTTAGTGAAGGGTATGAAAAGTGAAAATTTGAAATTTTGTTCGAAAAGTATTTTTTTCTCAACTACAACCATGTTCTTTTAATTCTTTTATCCCCAGTTTATAGCGCGTTTTCCACTCTACACAATATCATCACTGTATTTCCTTACTGACGAGGGAACCTCTTGAGGTTATAAATCGCATTTGAACTCGGACTACTTGTATCTTGTAGACCTCAGTGAGTAGTGAAATACCCTAAGTTGTTTCATCCCCATGGTGCTTTGTTGCTGAGATATTGAATTTTTAGTCTATAGAGCTTGGATTTCGAGCAAAATCCAACTTTCGAATTTTGACTTGAAACTTGCCACACTGGTAGCCCATAGTCATAGTAGCACGATGGGAAAAAATTCGATCCTAATGGATTTTCCCGCCTTGATATATTGAGACTCCAATATTTCACCTGAAGGTGAGGGAGAGGGTCAGATGTTCGAGTCTGAATATTTCAAGGCAGGAAAATCCATTAGGATCGAATTTTTTCCCATCGTGCTACTATGACCATGGGCTACCTGTGTGGCAAGTTTCAAGTCAAAATTCGAAAGTTGGATTTTGCTCGAAATCCAAGCTCTATAGACTAAAAATTCAATATCTCAGTAACAAAGCACCATGGGGATGAACCAACTTGGGGTATTTCACTACTCACTGAGGTCTACAAGATACAAGTAGTCCGAGTTCAAATGCGATTTATAACCCTAAGAGGTTCTCTCGTGAGTTAAACACGTTTTTCATCTCATGTTAGTAAATGGTCAAACTTTTCAAAAAATTACTTTTTGAGAAACGATTATAGTTTCAAACCAAAGTTTATATATGGTTAGATGCGCAATAAAATTCCATGCGTTATACAAAACCATCTTTAAACAGGAAGATATCGCCACTCCCGGCAGTGTCAACAAGGAGCTAGTGCCACTCCCTGGGCGTGTCAATTAAGAAAACAATTATTTGATATGTCAAGTAAGTGAATGATTTTTTCACAGCTGTATAGTAAAGAAAGCAGTGAAGAGGTAAGACTGAGCCCTTTCGAATTCTTTTTCAAAGCTTGGAAGTGAAGAGAACGAAGTAAAGCTAACTGGAAACGGTGAAGAAATGAAGATAAATGCCGTTATATAAGAAAATATCTATATGAATCTCAGCAGAGAAGTACAAGACTATATAAATGTCAGTTTCCAATGAAGATAAATTTGCAGGCTCCGTTTTACGAAATATATATGAAAGAAAATGCAAGGTAAAAGAAAAATATTATTTACACTTATACTCAGTTAGTCTGACAAAATGGGTTTTCGATGGTTTTCTTGAAAAATGCCGGAGTTTTAGCAATTTTAAGGGACCCTGCCGGATTTCAAAATTTGCAAGTATGAAAAAGTTGAATAGCAGGTTCGATAGAGAATTTTACTGCGCACCTAACCATATATAATTCTGGTTTGAAACTATAATCGTTTCTCAAAAAATAATTTTTTGAAAAGTTTGACCATTTACTAACATGAGATGAAAAACGTGTTTAACTCAGTAAGGAAGTACAGTGAAGATATTGTGTAGAGTGGAAAACGCGCTATAAACTGGGGATAAAAGAATTAAAAGAACATGGTTGTAGTTTGAGAAAAGAATATTTTTCGAGCAAAATTTCAAATTTTCACTTTTTTTTTTATAACCTTCACTAAAACTTCTAAAGCAGGTCAGAGAAATACAGTACCACTTCCAAACTTTGTCAAAAATTGCCTGATACTTAACTGTATCTAGCAACATGACTTGAGCCTTTAAGACCGGGTGCATCAATAAGAAAAAAATTCAGCACTGAGAAAGCTTCGTATAGTTCAACGAAGGCCATTCACTTTGTTCCTCAAATTTAAATAT